GAGGTTTAATTGCCTCATCGAATCGCAGCGTCAATTAGCTGCCTTGGAGTAAAAACACACTATTAAAATTTGGGCGCTGCCGAACTTTCCCGGATGAAATGCACATTTTCAAGAGATATTTTGAATGTTTTTCCTTGAAACATTTCGGACACTTTAAATAAAATTGCGAATAAAATCCATTGATAAGTTGGAAGACAAACGGTCACGAGTTACCGAGAAATTCGATTTTTTTTCAAGCTATATTTGGCAACGCTTGTAGGTTCATACGATGTTCTTGCATAGCATAGGAGTTGGGCTTCTGAAACGTTCACCTAGTGATTAGCAGAAAGGTGAGAGTGCAGGTGCGAGAGAAGTGAACCGTGTCGGTGAGATTTCTTAGGCAAGGAGGCCGATCGCGGGTGTGCAAGAAAATGACGGAAATATTTCGAAAGTGAAACAATTGTAAAACATACGTGACGGATTCCATTCCGACATTTGAGAAGGACAAACAATGACAGGTAAGGCGATTAGGATACAGGTGCGGCACAGGTTGGGCGGTGGATCTACCTGGAAAGAGGACATTATACTGAGCAACTCCACTTACTCACGTATTAAAAAAAAAACGTGTCGTTTAAGGAACACTAAACATCGTCATTTCGTGCAAATTAAGGAAACGCCAAAATTAACTGCTCTTCTCCAAAAGGCTTTTTCCGAAAAGTCAACTGCAATTTGTAAATTATAGGTATTTGTCGAAATATTGATCATTCCGTTCTTATCCCTACATTTTTTTTTTTTTTTAAATTTTATTCTATTGTTTTGTTCTTTTTGCCAGAGCGTATGATCTACGGCTCTTTAATGGCTGGATTATCCATAGCTGCTTGAAACCGCGTAGGCTGAAGAACGCTCTGCACCCCTGATCGAATCTTATTCCTTTTTAAAAATGATTTTTTATGACCATGATCAAGGTTCTTATAACAAGATTTTTTCTTTTTCTTTGTGGTTTATAGAGACATGGGTCTACACTCGTGTAAGTGAGTTTTAATAGTTATTTCGTTTTAAAACGGTATTTAAGTTCATAGCTCTTCACCCCTTTTTAAAATCGGCCTTCCCTTCAACCAACTTACCTCATTCGTTACCCTTCCACGAAATAATTCTCCATAAAAAGGGTCTGAGCTCGTCGGAGAAAACGCAGATCAAAAGCAAACAACCATTAAAAAATTTAAGGCCCACCTTCTAAAATGTCGCTCCGGGTGGGTGCCGAACACTTGATAGTTAAATAAGAATTAAACGAAATTTAATTCCTTCGCTGTCGTTTTAATGTATATTTTTTATTATTATTTCGTTCATTCGAACAAAAAATCAAACTTTTTACCTTTCCGGGGTTAGCTTTTCCTACGTTGACCTCGGATCGTTTTATAGTCAATTACATGGTAGAATGATGAGCACATTTTGGCTTTTCGGGTCCCCGGGGGAGTGTTAATGAATAAAATCTTGGGATTGAAATAAAACTAGTCCTCAGGAGAAAAGTTGAGCTAGGACATGGGAGTGCTCAACCAGTGAAGGAGGACGTGGAAACTCATAAAAGCAGAACATTTGGAGGGTGAAGATCATTAACCTTTGGCATGTTAGGATTTAAGGGCGATCATAAAATACGAGTCCTGTATCCTTGATTATTAGTAATTAAAGATCGGCGATTTATAAACTTGATTATCACTCAGATTTTAATCGTACTTGTTTTTGGGAAGAACTATACGTCCCTCATGAGAACTATCAAAATTCTTATGGGCTAAACAAACCTTTCGGATTTTGTTTTACACGTTTTCTTTCCTTTAATGCTGTCATTTCGTGTGCAAAAGAGGTTAGTACGATTACATCTAACAAACTGAATGATTTCAATCCTTGCAGAATTTGCACGCAAATTTTCATTGCTCCATCGGAAAGTGCGGAAAAAGCCGATTTCGCAGTATTTTTTATGTACATATTTTTTAACATGAAAAATACTATAGGAATATATTTATTTTTTTGACTTGAAAAATGCTAAAGAAGTATATTTAAAAAGGAGGAAATACACCACCTAGTGACGCCATTTGGAGGCATTTCCCATTTAAACGCGCATGTATTTTTGCAAATGAGAACATTTTGTCATATCTCCTCCAAAAATTGTTCAGTTCATGAATTAAGGGGGTATCTTCGTGTTCAATTTACTCAGTAATTTCTACCATTTCTACTAAAACACGAAATTAATCAAAGCAAATTCTGCAATCGATTCCTTAATTAACAGCAAGTGGCATTTTTATGGATCCTCCGAGATAAAATGAAACAAGAAAGCAACTGAAATATGGTATTCAACATGCTTTGGCTTTGGAAAAAATTGGAGAAGTGCGCATGTGTTACGTTTTTACATGATAGACATTGGCACATGGAAAAAATGGATTGCCAATTTAACAATTAAATTGTTAAAAAATATGTTCGGTATGTTTCCAATAATTCCAATGTACATTTCACAATAGTGGAAAACTAATTTAACCACGAGTTGTTTTATCGTAAAATCTACATTGAGCCATGTCGGGCACTTTTTCTAACTACAAAATTCAGCAATTTCATTTTTTCCGGGCATCTTGGAAATTTAAATGATGAGGTATATGTATTGGTATTTGCTAACTCTTAACCGGCTTATTGGATTCATTTTTACGGCCCATTTTTCGACGCAAGAATAATGGATGACGAAGAGGGAATAAAACTCTGTATTGAGCAGAGCATCCTCTTTTACAAGCGGCAGATGGTGGTTTTTTTCAATCTTAGCGCCCGTGGTTTTTCTGTCGTTGATGAGAGCATAAATCATAGGTTCCATAAGTTGCAAACCATCACGAGGTAAAAACTGAAATTGGAAGTTGGCGGTCAATAGCCTCGTTTTCCACCGGGCAAAACCTCTCCTTCTCTGCTTGCTCCAAAGTAGAAATTTCTGACGTAAGTCATTCAAAAAACGACGTCGCGTCGCTCTAATGCGACGGTCTTTTTTTGCTGACTTGGAGACTTCAACGTAGAGTAGAAAAGTTAGATGGAGCAAAACACGTGATACAACTATTTCAACTTCCAAGTGGATAAAATTGTATTTACAAAAATGAAGGAATACTTGGTCTCTTTGCAGCTGACTCGGAGACTTTAACGCAGAGTAGAAATATTAGGAGGAACAAAACACGCGATACAACTATTTCGACTTCCAAAAGTATTCCTGATCTTCTGAAAATTTTTAATGGGCCGATTGCGCTAGTAATGAAATGATAGTTTATGTTAATAAATCAGCAAAAATTGAAAGATCAGTTCATATGCCAAGTTTCCACGTCTAATATCAAAGGAAAAATCGCTCATCGAAAAATACAGTACATGGCGTCATTCACCGTGGTAATGCAAACCATGATTTCTTCCACCTTCGTTTCATCCGTGTTTTATGTCGAGCACTAATGAAAAATGTATCTCTTCGATTCATGAAACCAAGGTGGAGGGCACAACCGTAGTGGATGATGCCATACGCCGTTTTTTTGACTAGCGATATCTCTGCTAAAATTGGACTTAGAAACTTTGCGTTCGGACAAATCTTATTATTCTTGGTTAATCTTCCGGCTTACACCATCACACCATAATTCTGTCACTAGCGCAACTGACCCATTTACAGGATTTTGTTTCTCGGTGTTGCTTTATTGCATCCTTCCACTATAATTTTGCCGAGAATCTTACTATTTTTTCCCCTTTTTCTTTCTCTTTTTTTTTTCTTTAAAATGAACTGATCAAAATCAATTTTATGGGTCAGTATTTAGAGCTCATAAAATAAAAAATTGTATTTCCTCTTCAAGCCGGAAGGTAAGTACAAACCAATGTGCTCATCGTAGCTCCGCTGAGTTGAATTATTTTACTCGGCTGACAATGGGACTGGTAAAGAATCGGAAAAAAATACAGTTGGAATCTGGGCGGAAACAAGACACACCTAATGAAACGGACAACTCATTCAGAGTACTTTATCAAACAGAAGCTGATCTTATCAGGTTGATAAGATAAGCTCCATTGACAAACCCACTCGAGATAGTGCACTGCGCCGTCTCCTGTAACAAAGTCATTCAATCGCCTATATACGACCGTTCATAAAACAAATTTAGCTAAAAATCGGGTCTTAGTTGCCTCCCCTGAATCCCTTCCTGTCCGTAAAGCACCTGTAACGTAGCTCTAATCCTCCCTGAAAATATTTAACGCTCCCCCGAAAGAGCCGGACTGGTCCGGGTAACGGGGTGGCGGGCCTTTTTCCACCCAGTCCGCCCCTGGCCTGTTCTCCGACCCCTAACTCCAAATAGGAAAGGCCAATAATGAGAGAAAAATTAAATGGCAAAGGCCAATATTGATAAAATAATTAAATGGCAAAATACGTGGTTAAAATTTTGTATAATTTGCAGAAAAATATGAGAATAGTAAACAATAACGTCAAAATGTTACGTAGCGATGTCCCAAATGACCCCATAACAATCCATGTAATATGTAACCTCAAAACCCCGCAATGTACTTATAACGTAGGCTCAGGCCCGACCCAAAGCGGCTTTTACTTGATGAGCGACCCCGTATCAACGAAAATAATCGGAGCCACCAGGAGATAAGTCGGTGTATGATTGGAAATAATAATTCCGAACGCTGGGACTAACGCGGCATGATTTACACGCCGCGGACATGAAAAGCGCGTATGTGCGCAAGATGCGCCGCAGAGTTAAGTGGTTGTTAGCGCGAGGCCCGTCGAGTAGTTGGAGCTTACCTCCTCATTCATAGCTCGGGCCCACCGTGGGATAATCTCAGACTTGAAGGGGAGGGGTGACGGGAAGAAGAATAATAATTGAGATTTCCCTGAATTGTTGCTGAGAATTGGCTACAGACACACACACAGGTGACGGGGAAGCGCCAGCCGCCGCGCCGGGAGGGGAAATGGGAGGGGATATGGGCGGCGCGAAGAGGGGCGCCATATATAAACCGCTGCGCGCATGAGCTCGGTTTACTAGACAGCTCCGTCGCGTCGATTCTGCACCGTGTCCGTGTCGACATCACCCAGGATTAAGTGATAAGTGCGTCGCGAACTCGAAAGTGTTATCATAACCCTTTTGTTTACATTCAGTGTTCCTCTGTGTTCTGTGCGCGGAAATATTTTTCAAAATGAAAGCTGTGGCGATAAGTGCAAGTGAAAGCAGTGGAGTGATCAACGGTCGCGTCCACAAACCGAGGCGGGACCTGGAAAACGAAGAGATCCAGATGTACCTGTCCAAACTGAAGGAGCTCGTTCCCTTCATGCCGAAGAACCGACGGTTGTCCAAGTTGGAGGTCATCCAGAACGTCATCGAATACATCTGCGACCTCCAGAACGCCCTGGAAAACCACCCCAACATGACGTCCGAGATGGTCCAGTCGGCGGCCGCTGTGGCTCTGTCACCTGTAACCACCAACACCAGGACGAGCTCTGCGAATAGGCAACCTCTAGGCGTTCTGGCTCCAAATGCCATCGTCTCCAACACATGTTCCTCAGTAGATCAAACGGTAAGCAGTACTTCTTTTATCCCTAGTCGAAGCACTGAAGTAAGCGAACTGTCATATTTTTCCCTAGGTTTAAAGTTCGCGCAACATTGCCATCGAAGCTTATCGCACGACTTCACCAAATGATAGAGCATACTGTAGAAATAAAAAGATGTTTAGCTGGTCAAATAATTTTCATCTTTCATGTCAATAGATCTCGCAACATCGTAAATTTTAAATGGAATCTATAAACTTAAAACCAAATAATGAAAAAACTACCTAGTCATGTAATCATTGATTGCGTCGCTGGCGCTCTCTCCGTTCTGATCTTAAGTTTCTCCTGAATCCATTTTATTTAGCATTATCTTGTCATCTTATAAAATACTAATAATTATAGGTTTTATGACTGACATCTAGAATGCACCACATCAAGATTTTGCGTGATGTCATTAGATTCTCATAAGTATATAACTAGCGTCTGCGCAACGGGTAGGTAGGTATTCATAAAGTATCGGGACATGCTCTGAAATGCAATAATTAAATTAGAAGTCATCCCCAAAATTAACGAAGCATGCGCCCAAATAGTGCCGCTCATCATTGATTCCTATGCGAAATTTAACGCGGTCTGATGCGGGTATACCTAAATGTCAAGTATACCTATGAATGACTCTTGACTGCGAAACTGAGAGATAAGTGAGTCACGGTGATTGCATGCGATTTGCCGCGAAGGTTAAGTGCGTAATTTTTATTTCCTGCCTGAGGTGGCAGAAAAATCAGCAAGGCTCCTTCAAGGTGCTTACTGTGTTCCTAGGTAATACTATGAATGCTCATCGTAATCAGCTGCTGAGGCAGATTAGTGATTAAATCTACAGGTTACAAGCAATTTGCAATAAATACTTGAATGTGTTGAGTGCTGCAGCCTCTATATACCGAAGGAACGATCTTCGCAAACAATTTGCTTACTTCACTGTGATATTGAACATTTTTTCTTAGTTATAAACTTATCTTCAATATTATTTTTTCCTTCAATAAGTACTTCTATGGCACTCCTTTGAGTCCACGAAATGACATTATGAATTTGACAGGCTACATTTAAAGTAGTCGTATATTTTGAATCTACACTTGTTTTCCTATTTTCACGTTTTGGTGTGGTCTAAAGGGTCGGAGCGTTGAGCGAGCTTATTGCTCATTGTTCGACTCGAGAGTATACGTATTTGCTGGTCAGGTCAGCCTATATAGGTTGTGGATTGATCGTGGATTTTTTGTCTGAATGATTGATTTTTAGTACGAACGAGTGAATCTCATTCAGACGACTAGAGCACAATCATTTGGAGTGATTTCAATCTGTGAAAAAGGAGGTTATTTGCTACACCAAACGCATTTCAATCCTTTTCACAAAAAATATTTCTAGGAATTAAATTTATGTGTTCGTAGCCTTACGAGAGAACACTTTGGGAAGAGGTTGAAAGCAACTCCGCCTTATCACAATCTAAGCGTCCTAAGTACATAAGGAATGACACATTGTTTTCTTTTTTGGTGGCTGAGAAGTGAGAGGCCTTCAGCGGCGAAACTGGCATATTTTCTTGCGAAAATATTTCAGGTGAGGGGGCAGCGACAGCTTGGCACTGAAATCCCGAACATTGTCTTAAGTGAGCTGTGATGATATTTTTCCCCGCCCGAGACAACGGTGGAACTGGCGACGAATTAAAGAAAAATGGGACAGTAAATAAGTAGCCGGTCATCAAAAGTCAAAACAAGTGGGTCGTTTAATTGATGAGTTAACAGCTGTTGGTACAGCTGTGCTTTGCAGTTAACAATATAACTCTTGAGGCTGTCTTAGTCCATTTGTCATCCGCGAGAAATGCGAGGCTCAAAGTCTTCAGACTATAATAAGAGCGCGATTTGGGTTTCTCGTGTTTTTCTTTCTTTTTTTTTCATCCCGTTAAGTTGGCCGCTGTGCTCTCTCTCTCTCTATCTCGACGCTTTAATTTTGACGGAAATTTTGCCCGAAAGTCTATTAAGCCACAAAGCATCAGACCTGCTCAACCGCTCGGGGTTTTTATTTTCTAGTTGCGAGTTAAAATGGAACCCTTCCAATAACATCGAGTTACATTTTAGCCTTTTCTAATTAAGTGATCCATTTGTGAACCCAAAAATACAGCTGGAACTATCCGAACGCGACATACATGCATTCGAATTAGTCAAATCGAACGGTTGAACAAGATTTTGTTAGAATTAATAGCTATAATGTGCCACAAGACGTAATACATTCAGTTTGTTTTTGGTAAAAACTTATGTGAAACTAGTTTTTAGGGAAGTGTGTAGGAGATCTCGATGTTAGCTCACGCACCTGCGGGCTGATTGTTGAAATTCATAGACAAAGCTATAGACGAAGAAAATGAAGGGGTTATGGAGGGGTCCTTTTGGTGGAAGTGGGTGGTTGCAATGGACAAAAGAGGTAGCTAATGGACTGACCATCGACAACCTACGAGAGGCCCTGTAGTTAGTCCATCATTTCCTCCCCTAGTCTGTAGGAACCAACCATTTCAACCAATGGGATTGCTCTATACTTCCTATGTCTACTTTGTCCATAGCTGTGTCTATCAGTTTCAACAATCAGCCCGCAGCTATATGTAGATTTACTGCAACACCACTTTCTCTGTGTCCGTAAGGAGTCGAGATTTCCTCCTTGCAGTATGAGTTTCGGCAAGAAATTAATTATCATTAAATTAATTAACATTAAATTAATTTTGATGGGGCGCGATCGGCGCTGAGGAGCGCGGTGGTGGAATTTTTATTGGTGAAATCGAGTGGCGCTGGGAGAGGAGGCTCCTCAAGTCTCACGATTTCGAGACGAGTCATGAAGCGACACGGATACTCATTTCACGGTGGAAGCGAGAAATTTAAGTCATGCCCGATGAGTGTTGCAATCGTGAAGCCGCAACGTGAACGTTGCCGGACGCCGCGCCAACATCAACGATTTCTCTCGAAAATCCCCCGTTCAACGTTTCAATGCACTAAAAATTCCCTATCATGACGAAACGTCTCTTTTCCGGGAGCTCAGGATATCGAAACTTTAGTTTCTTTGCTAATTTTGAACGGGACTCCAATTTGCAGTTAGGAACTACAGTTTCTGGTACATCCGTAAAAACACTCATGCATACAGGGAAACTAATGGCACATAAGTTGATTCTTAACTGAGCCAGAAATTATGGTTCCGAATTGCAAAATGCAGTCCAATTGCGGTTGGCAGCGCATGTCAAAGACGAGGTTTCTGGCGGTTGAATCATGCAAGTTAGGAATCAATGGACTCATTCTTATGAACGCAATGGCACGAATCATTTCTCCGGAATGAGCCGGAAATAATTGTTTTTTATTGCATAATGTAGACCGAATATTGCAATCAGTCCTGTTATTGCATTCAATAATAATGGAAAGTTTACCCTTCGATGCAGAAGGCACCCCAAGTCAATCACTGTGGAATGTCATTTAAAATTCAATGGTTGTTTTATGAATTATTTACTAATTCAATTGAGGATCGCATTAAAGTTTGGTTTTCGGGAAGTCGTCGTTTGTTTTTGCAAAATTTAACGCAACTCTTATAACGTAAATGATAAATTATGCGATCATAACGGATACTATAGCCGGCTACTAGAGTTGTGCATGGCTCATCAATGGTCGTCGAAGACATCGTAAGAGCTGCTAAATCACGGTTTTCTCGATGCAATGTATCCACCTTGTTTTTTAAAAGTATAAAAACAAATGGAGTCTCCTCCCTCAGGGTTGAGTGGTGTAGTTCCGAGAGCAGAGGTTTAAAGTTTTTATAAAGACCTGATTATTTTTTTGCCACCAACATGATCGATCAACCTTTTTTGTCTCGTTGAGATGGGGAGTTGCCGAACCAATCGAGTAATGAACTGGTTACTTGCGGCCTCTTATCGAGGAACCCGTTCGAATTGTTTTGTCTTCCTTGAGATTAAGTGTTGCGCGATTTTTTTCTCGTGTGATTCGGCACAGGTGCGCGGGTGCGCTAAGAAATCAGTGGTCGGGTTTTTGATGAATTTGACGGTGGCCGATGTCCGTGGGAAACCGAAGACCTCCTTTTGGCTCCGCTCATGACGCGCTCGGGCGTTTCGATCATGAGCAACGATTTACGTTGTTGTCATGTCGCACTTATTGATCGATTTTTCGGCAATGAATTTTCCGAACTACGTACCTCAGTTTCTCCGGGGGCTCAAATTTGCTTTCATACTTAATTTTTTGAGAAAAAAAGCTATTTTACGTCCTTACGTAAAAAAGTCTACGATTTTTCATTCCTGTGTGAGGAATACTCGGTTATTATTTCAAGGAATGATGTTGATTAGTTGTCCATTGAAAGATTGAAAAAGGAGGGGAAATTTTGAAAAATCTCTATCTGGATACGTTTGAATTTTACCGTGGATGCTTAAAATGTCAATCATCGGTTGAATTTTTCAAGAAAAATAGAAATTTCAATCCCGAAATCAACTTTTCATGAATGTCCGTATTAAAACCCGTGTCTCGGAATCTGAATATACTCATTTAAACTTCAAGAATGAACGCTATTTTACGCATTTCTCGGTGTATTTAATTCTCGAAATACGCTGAGCCGATTTTCATTATTTTTTCCGCTAACAACTAATAATAACTTCTGAATTGACTACCTTTTGCAATTGAGAACTACTGTTTCTACCTCGCCCACCGAGAGCACATATGTTGTTTCTAAAGTGAGAGAGAAATATTAGTTCCCAGTTGCAATACGAGATCCGAATGAGTCAATGGCCTTTACATTTGTGAAAAATGGCCCAGTTTGCGATTCTTACAAGGGCGCGAAGCTTTCTCTGGGGATTGGACCGCGTGGCGGCCAGAGGGGTACCCCCTAGTAAACGCGCAATTCGCGGCTGGAAATCTCGGGCACAGCTGTCGGCAGCGAGTAACGGAAGTAACCTGTTGAGCCTCCAGCGAGGGGCAATTGCGACGAGATCATGAAGCTTTTGCGGGTGTGCACTGCGGCCGCCATCACTCGTCTCGACAGAAGAGCATAACTACTCTTATGGACGAGTCGTGCCCGCCGTATGACTCCGTACTTTCGAGGGCTCCCACGGATAAGGAGTTAAGTTAATTTTCGGACGTGGAGCTCAATTACGGTGACTTTTCGAGGCGAAAGGACTCGAGCTGGAGTAACAGTTGCAGCTGATCACCCGGCAATTTTCCCAGGCTCCGCCCCCCGCCCTCGCGACCGCCGACGCACCCCTCCCTAGCGCCGCGACGCCCATTAAAAGCTACTTGATGATCGAGATTTATTCGCCGCGCAGTGGGCGCCAATGCAAGTTATGGCATCTATTGTGCTACTAGTGGGATTGTGCGAACGTCGATCGATTTATCGGACACATTTTGCAAAAATACCAGTTTCCTTTAAAGTTTTTGGCAAAAAATGGATCCACGGCGCCTAGAAGCAAATTTTAGCTGTTTATTGCCCAAAATCTAAATCTATTCTGAGATCCCTAGATTGAAACTGAATGTATCCGAACGCGAACACCAACTTTTTGACTGCTTGAATGTAACGTGTAGCGTGTGGGTCCTTTCACGTGTATTTCAGGATTCAAAAAATGGATTTTTTGGGAAGAGACTGCTCTTATGTGTCTCAAGTATGGATCTGTTAGTTTTTTTTGTGGTTTTTTTTTCTAATAAAATAGAGTGAAACCAATATTTTAGCAAAATGTGCCTGATGGCTCTTTTTTTGTTCCCGTCCGGTGAGAATACTTTTCTTTGTCGCGGCATTACGAAAAAAAGAAGAAACTTTTCCGGCTTATTTCAAAAAACACGTCCATCTACACTCGACACGGTTAAATCTGTAGAGGATACGTAAATTCTAAAACTTGCCGAAGAAGTTTGATCTTTATCATCGAATACCGTCTAAATGTTGCAATGCGCCGGTATGCTAGTGGGTAATACGGTGATAGAACAAAAGGCACATCTGGACGTGAGAAAATTGTTAAAACGAAGTAGTCGAGCTTTGTCCTTAGCGAAGGAGCGAAGCAGCTTGCTCTGCCAGGTGCCGCTGCAGTTCCGAAAGGGGAGCCGAGAGAAAAGAAAGTCGTCAAAAGACTGACGAAATCCGACTTCCCGCTGAATAGTTTTTATACGAAAGTTATTTTGCAATGATTTTAAGGGGCGAGGGTTGAATTTTTCCCACAGAAAAACCCCCGGCTCATCCCTGCAGGGCTAGTTTCACAACCGCCGCGCCGCGCCGCGACACCTGGTTCTCGAGGGCTCCCCAGGCCGGGGCTTCACCCTAAAACTTAAGACATCTGCATCCACGCGGGGACGGGAAGTTAAACCCGCGTATCTTCAACACGGGTCTCGTTGGAGGAACGCGGTTCTTGCGAGGCAGGGTGGAGGACACGTGGTCGGCCGTTTCGAAACTTAGACTTCCCTTTCCTCCCACCCCGTGGACATTTCCTTTGGGGTTTTTTTTATCTCGTCGAGCACGTTTCCTCGAGTCAGCTGCGGGGTGAGATCGTCCTCGAATCACCGGCGATTCTTGCAAGTTGGCAACACCGTTTGATCTCTATTCAGAGTATTGATCAGAGTCTTGATCTCAGTACAGTCGCGGTTATCCGCGTGGTGATTGAAGCTACCGCGGAAGAGCGAAATTCGCGTATAAGTCAACCCCAAGTGATTCAGCCGGGGAAAGTGAATAAAAAGCTGTATATTCAAATCGGTAACAACAATCAAGTAATAATGGGGAAAAATGTGATTATTAGTTAAAAATGCATACACTTTACCTCCAAGAAGTTATCTTGTCAAACATCACGAATTTTTTGACGCGCCATAAAATTGCTGTATTTTCGGGCGACAACCATAGATAAAACCGCGGATAACCGATACTCCGCTGTGATTGATTCAAGGTGTCGCAATAAATATAGATCATTTTACATAAATTTAAATGGACGAAGCAGAGTGTACCTAATGTTTCAGTGTGCATGTTTATTATTAATCGTTTCTGGTTTAACTGATTATTAATGGGATGTGTTTCTTCTTATGTTACAGAATGCACCCGTGTCTCATCCCTTAGAAAAAACCTCAACGCCAAGTGAGAGGCACGTCTCTTGTTAAATTTTCCTGGATACTAATCAAAGTCATCTAAAACCAAGACAAGCTCCTGGAACAGTCTAGAGCCCCGTCGTTTTTTGGAACATCGCAACCATGAACCAGCTCTCTGTGATGGTATATATCCACCTACGATCGTTTTCTTCGTGCCGACATCTTTGCGAACAATATTCAAACAGTTTCTTTTGATACATGTAGCATTCACATAATTTTACCGCGCGCACATGACATTGTAAAATCGTGCGTTGAAAAAGTAGAAATTGAAAAATTTCCTTCGCCAAGAAATTTTAAAATTGTTTCCCATGTATTTTAGTCCTTCCATCAATACTTTAATTTTTCGTTTATCGATTTTTTTCCTATAAAAATTATTGAATCGGATTTCATGTCATCGTAACATTTAAAGCCGAGGTAGCTCAAATAGCGTTTTTTCGAATCCTATTCATAAGTGCATTTTTCACAGAGCATTTATCGTGTGAATCTTTCATAATTTAATTTCTGAGCGCATGAGCGTTATTATTTTTTTTTTAAATGACACCAATTATTGATATTCCATTTTCCAAAAAAGAACATTGTAATGAGTAAATTTAAATCCGCAGAAGTATTTCGAGGAAATAAATTTAAATAATGCCATGACGACAAAATGAATTCGTTCTGAGACAGCTTGGTTTTTGACTGAAAATGAATTTTGTTTTAGTATCTAGTTCATTAACTTATTATTTCTGTCTGTGATGTTTTGTTGTTTTGTAATTTTCTTTTTCTTTTTTTTATAATTTTCATTTTCTAGAGTTCCCTTTCTATATTGTAAATATTTTGAGAACAATTGCTGAAACCATTTATGAATGGTGGAAACTTTAAGACTAAAATCACTCTTCCATCTAAATCCAGTTTAAATTGACCCTTTAATGTAATCAATAGACGTAGCTTGAATTTCATTGAACTTTTTATCCTTTTCACTTGAATCTTTCAAGTGGAAGTTTCCTAATGTCATATCCCACCAAATCATCAACTTCCCTACCTCATTTCATATTTTGAGAATTCCCCTCTGCAGTAGGTGACTCATTACATTCATTCAGAGGAATAAACTGGATTTATTAATTTGTTCCATCTTGTAAGTCTTAAAATGTTCCATTTCGCATTGTAATTTGGATTCTTACAAATTTATTGTTATTGTTGTTGTACATTTAGAACATATATTAAAGTGTAAATACGTCTATGCTAGATTTATTTTTATGTTTTTTAGTTTAAAAATATTATCTGAATAATTTATTCCTCACAAAGCCGACGATGATCAAAATAACGAAGTTATTACGTTCTGCATTCTGTTACTTTTTATTTTAGTTCATATTCTATCTCTCTGAAAGCTGATGTCTGTTGCAGACATTGGCAATCTTATTCAAAATTTTTACACCTCATTTATTCAGATGTATTTCATTTCCATTTTGTACAATTGTCACTTGAAAAAACTCAATTTCAAATTGAATTTTTTTTAAAAAAAATAAAGAAACCAAAATACCATTTGATCTCACTGTCTTCTACTTTCAGATCATCAAAACCATTATTCTATTAAATCCTCTGAATTTAAGAGATAGCGTAAGAGCTGAGCCGTCAACCATATGATTATAATATTAAAAAGTACTCTTTTCGCTCAACTGAATTAATAATACTAAGCAGTATCATTATTAAACTCCTTTGAAAATCACCCTTCATGACCGTAGCGTACACGGAAAAAAATGAAATCAGTGATATAACAATTTTGTAGTTAAAATAAGTGCCCGACATGTTTCAATGGGATTTTACAATAAAATAACGCTACTTTAACCACTAATTTTTTACTATTGTGAAATGTACATTTTAAACATGTCGAACATATTTTGTAACAATTTAATTGTTAAATTAGCAATTCATTTTTCTCCGTGTAAAAAAAGAAAATAAATCTAAGTAGGAGTGCATTACATGAACAAATGAAAATAGGCAATTCCGCCATGGCCATAAGTCTGATGCTAGTATTGCTAGTTAAATGAATTAAATGGAGTAAGGCCAAAGCACGCTAATGAAACTTTTGGACCCTTGACCAATTGATTTGAATTCAAATTGGATTCTAATTTGGAATCGTAATTATGTAATTTTACTAATTAGGACTAATTCCAGTTTCATCCCTAATGCATTCCCTATTCAAAGCAATCAATTTATCCGGCTCCTTTAAAGATTCAGTTAAATAATGAAGCCATATTAGCTTCATGCGATACATAATTACGTGCGTCTTTGAGCCTTTTACTTCGTATTTTCTACCAAATTTAACAGAAGCATGTGAAAGCATTAAACTCCGCATGCCCAAGGAATATAATTTATCTTTCAGCAAGTTAGCAACCCTTTAATAGTTACTTTTTGAGCGTAAAACTCTTTCATATTCACCTCAGACATTTTACACGTACGTAATGTGTCTTATTTACTATTAAGAAGTCCCATTATGGACAGATAGGACCAAAGAAAACAATCTATACGTTTAAAAAATTCATTTTTTCGAAAAGAAATCCTCTTTGGACATAAACAATAAAAGTTAAGAAAAAGAGTAATGAATAGGTATGATAGATCACAAAATAGATCTCTCATGTTAAACAATTTTTTGAGACTTTGCCCTTTTTATCAGAGGCCTCTTTTCAAAATTGTATTGTATTCACTTTCTTGGAGTTCAAGCAAAAAATGCATGTTTAGAACTGAAATGAGACTTTAAAAATTCAGATAAATCAATCAGTCCTATTCAGAAATCGTGCAATTAAGTACACCAAATGATGCTGGAAGCTGTAGTCTTAATAATTAAGAACAGCATCATTATGAAATAAAAGGTAAGTGATTTTCACCTAATTTTTACAAAAAACGAATGTTCCCACAAACGTGAGAAAATTTCTCCACTGATTTTCAAAATAATGTTATTGGGAAATTAACTTTAAACAGAAATCTAATGTTACTGCAATATATAACTGTAAAATTTCGAGGAAACGTGTAAATTTCCCAGAAGAAAAGAATTTCATGGGAGAAAATTTGGCTTTTACACAGGGAAAAAATCAGAAGAATAGGCCGTAAATTTTAATATTTTTTTCATAGGAATTCCCGTTCTGGTTTTCCTACTGATGTAATTTGCGTAACGGTTGAGATAACGAGACAGTTGGGAATACGAATAGCGTTTCCGGTTCCTGCTACTAGGAGATTTCCCGTCACCGTGACCAAGGGTCGAGATGACCTGAACATGCCTGATAAACCTAATAGGATGACCTGACTAAAGGCGTTGATGCTCTAGTTTTTACCGTTGCAAGCCAGTTGAAAATCGGAATGACAGCAATTCCTTTTTCTTTTTTGCATTCCGAGGAAGTTCTCGACGGGTCTATTTCTGTAACTTTAAAAACCCAAATTATCTCATTCTCAATGTAGGAAGTTCAACTTTTCAAGACTTTATTTGCACTTTGCAGGACCGTTAATCATTAAAATAGTTCAATTGGACCTAATTATGCTGAAAGAAACCATGTCGCACGGAAACCTTATACACATATACTTTCTTTTTAGCATCAACGTAGTTCAATTGAGGGGTCATTCGGATCACATTTAGCAAAAAGGAACCAGCGCGATTCCAGTGTTCAAAATTGTGCAACTTTTTCTTTATTTTTAAGAGCACTTAATACGTGCACAGTATTAAATTTACACAGTTACTTTTCTTTAAAATTGCCAATTTTTTGGTGGAAAGTGAGATCTATTAGCAACATGGGAGATTTTTAAGATAATAATGAAGAAGCAACATTTTTACAACACCGTAATCGCGCTGCTGGTTCCTTTTTGCTGAATGCGATCCGTATAATGAGCCACGCAAGCAGCGCGGCAATCTTGTCCTTAAAATCGACGCGGGAGTTGAACTCATGACCTTTGGCGTGCGAATCCAGTTTGGCGTAAATTAAAGGCCGCCTGCCTCGTCATGGGCAGAAGTAAGGCGGAAAAAAATTGCTCCCAGCAGTGAGTCCTCGAGGCCCAGGAAAGACTCAGCTAGCGTTTACTTTATTTTACGATCTGGAGTGGTTCGCATGCTGTTGAATCGTCGCTCCTTTGAATTCAAAGGCGTAACGGCATTTTCACATGAGCCCAGGAAAGCACGGTGCTATACGGACGATAGGACTCATTTCGAGGCGTGATCACACCCTTGTGGCAGCACTGCGAAGATAAATAAGCACATCGAGACATATCACGAGTCTGACCGATTTACTCCGTGAGTAGGTACGCTGCGCGAAAGTCGATGCGCAAGCACAACCATTCATCGTTTCCCATAGGAAGGAACATTTACCTTTATAGGGAGCATATAGCCACTGAGTCTCATGGAGGCTCTTACACTGGAAAGAAAAAGTCGCTTGAATCTAGAGTCCAGACTCTTAAAAACATTGGCAAGAAAAAATACTCCTGATTCGATCGGACTTTTTGCTTGAATCAAAAGGAAATCCACCTGAAACAAAAGGCTCGGCTCTTCAATTAAAGGAAAAATCGGATTGAATCAAGAGTATTTTTTCTTGTCAATGTTATTAAGAGTCTGGACTCTAGATCCAAGCAACTTTTTTTCCCAGTGGTGACTCCAGGTTGTCCTGTATTTTACAGTGCTTTCTCCTTTCCTGTTTAGAAAATCGTTTAAAGTATAGTTTTGCGAAAGAAAATTAACATGTTTTCCTTAAACCTCAAATCGTATACTGCCGTTCAAATAAAACCGCCGTATGAACGTTCGAATGTTGCCAAATTTACTCTCCGATTATACCAATTCTTAAGCATAGATACGAATATTTTTCATTGAAATTTTCAGACACTTTAGATCAAATTACAAACAAAATTCCCTAACAAAGTGGGAGAAAAATACTCAAAAATTTCCCAGAGAATTCGTGATTTTTTAAAGGAAGTTTGGCAACGCCCGGAGGCTCATATGGCGTTCCTCCATAGCATGGCAGTTTGACTTCGGATGTGAAAATCCTCCAAAAATGAAAACGTATTCCAACACTTGAGCCCGTACGATGAGTCGTATTTTAACTTGAACCAATGTCCTAGCCGTAGTACTCACCTTATGTATCGGAATCTTAGCTGATATCGGTGCATAACTGGAACTCCTGCATAAGGGAACAAGCAAGTAAACTAAGTTGTTCCGCAAAATCACCGTTTCAAGGCTCATAAAATAAGTCGTTGGGTCGTTTGGTGGCGGTCGCGAGAAAAACAGGTAATAAAAAGGAAATATTATACTGATCAATCAAAACTCGCGCAAAGGACGGAGATCTGACGTGCGATGTAGTGCAACGTAAGGTGCGAGGTGCGAACGCCCTTTCGCACTGGTATGTCTGGGTCCCCCACGGGGAAGATGGAAAGAGGCTCGGACCTGATACAAACCATGATTTAAATATGATAATAACAAACCCTGAAACGGTGTACGTCGAGATGTTGTCGGATCGCATGCTTACAGTCACCGATCAAAGCTGGAAATTTGATTCCACGCCTTTGGTGAAAGTCAAAAACCCAGTTGATTACGTGCACTGTAAACCTAGTCGAACGTAAAACCCTACTGAATTAACAAATAGTTTGCTTATTCAAAAAAATATTGTAATTTTTAAAAAAATCTTAAAATGCATGCTAACTGATGACGGGGTTTGCACTGATCCCTACCTCGGTCAGTCACATGCTCATTTTTTTTTGTTTTAATTTTTAATTTTTTAGCTTATGTTCCAGTTGAGAATGGGCGTGTAATTGGCCCGAAACGTCCTAGTTATGTTTATTCTATGTACTTAGCCTTATAAACCATTTTGTTTTGTATTTAATGTGTTCTTATCGTCAACTCAACACAACAACACAACAGATGCACAAACAGCTACCAGCAAGCTACTGGCTACTGGCTGGATCTGTTGTGCTTTTTGTGTGTGTGTTGTGTCTGTGTGTGTGTGTGTGTATCGTCTTGTCGTTCAATGGCGATTTGTACCTCCTACATAGTAAATGAAAGATGGCTCATGATTTTTATGCCCGATCACCAACCATGTCCTCAAAAAATAACTATCAATTAGAAAAATCGGATGTAGGTCGCAAATTTTATCCTGACAATAATGACACGTTTTTTCAGCTTAACGGGTCAGAAAAATTTTCAGAGCTCAAACAGTATATTTTGGAAACAACCGAGCGCACAACCCACTCCAACTCTCAACGATGAACTCAAGTCGACTCTCAAAGATGACAATTTTAGAATCGCTTCATGGCAACGCTGATTGCGAAGCGGCAGGCCGCGTGTGAAGTTCGTTGTCGTTGATAATCGCTTCGCGCCATCTGGTCAACACAAGCTCATGCGAACTTGCACACCGAGACCCACAAGCAACAGATGGATGGCCATTGGCAAAGATTCTGCCGACGACTGGTCAACAGTCAACGGTTAACAGTCAACTGTCACCGGTGATCGGCAGTGGGAAGTATCACTTCATCTCACGACGAAAACGACGATATTGCAAGCATAAATAAAAAAATTTAC